CTTTCTGGCCATCAGTCCCAGGTTCGAATATGTCTGACTGATGTGATCGATCTGGGGGAGGCGTTCCCAGTGTGAGGCACCTTTGGAAAATGACTGCAAACCATAGCACCCGAAACTTGAGAGTGAAATTGCGTAGACGGAACTCTTGAGGGCCTTCGGTGGTTGTGCTAGCGCAAAGTCACAAGTCATTGTGACCGAGGGTTTAAACGTGCTATCCTTGTTCAGACTGTTGATCACGCTAGATAATGCGCTCTACCCCAGAAACTCTAATTAAGATCCTCTCAGCATAGTTGCAGTATAAACCACAGGTAGATTCTGTGGGTGTTGAACAAACACAAATTTGCCTGAGCAGGCGCCTGCAACAGGGATTAGCTAGTCACCCTAGTAGACTAGATTCCTCGCATTCGAGTGGCTGTTCCGTTTACTTTTGTATTTCGTCGATTCAAAACTTGTCACAACTTGTTTTTTTATTGTAAAGCTTCACTTACTAAATAATTATTTATTACTTGCAAGCTATAAGGAATAAACGTTTAAAATGTTACGTAAAATATGATTAAATCGTTTGGAAATTTCAAACCAATAAATCAATAACACAAACATTTTCTTTTATTCAATTCATCTGTCTTATTCTTTGAAAATCACTGACACTGAAGTGAGTTGAGGACTACCATTATTGTTGTTAGTGATGGTATAAGAGAATTATTTCATGTTGCTTTTTTTCTTATTTTTAGTCAACCATTTTAATTCATCGATTTACACTACTAATGATTTACTCTGCTAATGATAATGGACTACCTGATAAGAAGGATAATTGTAAAAACTCTTGAGGTAAGAATAAGAATAAAAGAGAATCTCAAGTAGCCATGTAATACAGCATGATGATTATTCAGATTCGACAGGGAAGCCAATTTCAGTTTCAAATTACGACCAACCGTTAATTACACGCAATGGTGGAAATGCCAGCATTTCATATTTGCGACCAAAAATATTTGTTATGGCTTTGTGACATTATCAATACCAAAACATACATCTCTATTGACATGGTTGGCCGGGAAGGATGGTGTAATAAAGTCAAGAAAATCCGATAAAGCACGAGACGATGAGTAGTGAGTTCGAACCTCACTAGGTGACCCATATTTTCAGCCTTGTGCCGGATCAAAGCTACGCTTAGTAAATCATTGCGACATCATTCTGCAGCTTGAAAAATTAACTTGCAAATTAACTTGCAAGTACTAAATTAGTAATGGTGCACATATACTACACGGATCCTAGACAGACATCCGGGTTTGACACTAATATCCTTGGCAGAGCGCGAAAACATTCAGATCTTCAGAAGTGCTGCTAATCAATACGTAAAGGAAGCCACAATTGTTTACGGGTACTGTGCAAGTCAACATACAAAAATTCATTAAACAATTTCGAGAAAATTCTTCTGCTTTAATGTGCCGTGTCCTTTCAGGGCGTAGACGGTCATGGTCCTTCACATCTTCCTGTCCCTTGGAGCTCTTAATAAGTTTTGCCTTTTTGTTATTTTTCCCAAACCCTGTTCCACCATCCATCTACTCAAGCATGTCAAATACGCCACGCGCTATTTTCCTCTGTCACTATTTCCCTCAATCAGAGTATCAGAATTTCCAAATTTTCTAAAGTGCCCTAGAAATTTCAACTGCCTCTTCCTGATGTTAAGTATAAGTTTCCTTTTTGTTTCGTTTTTTCTCCAAAACCACGTTGTTGCTCACATATTCTGTCCATGGTATCCTCAGCATCTTTCTGCAGAACCATATTTCTGTTGCTTTGTACTTTCACCTTTGAGAAGATCGTCCAGCATTCGCTGCCATACAGGAGAACAGATATCACGTAACAGTCCAGTACTATTTTCTTTGTTTCTAACAAAAGTTTTCTCTCTTAATACTCTGCTTAGCTTTTGGAAGGTAGCTTTGGTCATCCCAATACGTCTCCGGATCTCGGCGTCACACTTTCCGTCCTCTGTTAGAACAATTCCCAGATATTTAAATTTCTGTACTTGTATTGTTTTAGTATCTCCGATTTGCAATTTGAATTTTGGGCTCATCCTTGTAGCCGATAGAATGAGCCGACCATTTTTTTCAGCATCTTTTAGCAATAGATCGTATATATGTTCCATTTGTGGTCTGCAGAAAACAAGAACATATGGTTGTATCACGGTCTTAAAATCGAATGTGCTAATTGTAGAAAACATTTGATACGAATTACAAAACTAGCATGAATTAAAATTAAATAAATCCGAATTAAAATAAATAATAAAGAAGATTTATATAAGAAATTCAAATATTATATCAAATACTACTAGCTCATACGCTCATACAAAATGATAACGACATAAAATGTAAGAGTAAAGCCTGTTTCCGATTTGAATTACTGTAAATTGTTAATTTTCGTTGCCTAATCAATAAAGCAGCTTACCCAGAAAACAGGATTCCAGATGATCAGAGATGCGATTTCGAATCTCGCTAATGTCTTATTTATTTCCAATCAACGCTACTTACAAATTATAGTGAAATGCACTGAAAAGCAAGGGAAATTAGGATGAAAATCAAAACTTCACGATAGTTGACTGTGCTTCGTTTAAGGAAAATAAAATAATTGGAATATATATCACAGAGCAAGCCACACAAACGCTACAAGGACTGCATCAAGGGCGCACTTAAGAAGGTCAACATAGACATGTTTGGGAAGATCTTGTGTCTGAAAGATCAACTTGAAGACAATGCGGGAGACTGGTATTAACCAATTTAAAGGTAGGATTGAATACAAAGAGCTAAAATGCGTTGCTTGCTATATGGAGAGCGTAATCCCATTCCTAGGAAGAGTTTCTAAAGCATGCAGGATGTGAGCACGTATACCTTTCAAATGCTGACTTGATTAGTCATCACAACGAGAGCATAATCTATCACTACGAGGTTATGCCTAATTTCACTTGCAATTTATACAACAAAGTGTGCAGGCCAACGAGTGGACTTATCTGACATTACAATTCACAGCACTATAATACCAATGCAGCAAGTGGTAAGCTTCCTTGCAAATCCTGTGGTTTAAAGTATAGATCATTCGCTGTATTAATTAGTCACCACAGACGTCATTAGTAGCCGGGAAATCACCATTAAAGTCATGGAAGTGGACGTACTTTGACACAAGTTGACTTTCCACCATAAGTAGTGTATGTTACCTTTTTTTTAGAGAGCGCAAAGATAGTACTATCTGATTCCGTACTTAACATAAACGAACCCCCTACGGGAGTAGATTGTGAAAAATGGTCAGCTTAACGTGGAGTGCCCATACACATTCAAGGATAAAACTAGCCCTAGTCCTTTACTGAAGATGGAAGAAAAGAAATAACTCCCCTTATTTAGTGCAATGGGGAAGGATCCCCATGACTAGGTTTCCTTCGTTCTAAAACCGTCAACAACACAATAGATAGAAGGATAACGAAAACTATATTCTGATTCCTTATTTAATCGTATTCCCATGGGTGTGACATAGGGTTAGTTTAACAATCAATACGTGTATATATGGGCCAAGGATAGGGCATCTCTTCGTGGCTTAATGCTTGGGAAGCTTGTCTCGCTAAAACAGTTATAACTGAATAGTGAATTCGATCATCACTGGATGCCCCATACATTCGGCCTTGTGCCACATCTAAGCTACGTTTAGAAAATCAATATATGGTCCTGTAGGGAAGTGAGATCAAAGGGGCGGTCATGGTCGCCATTTTTAATTCCGTCATAGCACATGTGTTGGTGGTTTCGCATGCGCGAGGACGCAACTGATATATGAGCGCGTCCTTTTTTCAGGACAGTTTTTTGAATCAGACGGTTTTGAACGGGCAGTGGATTGACAGCGAAAAAGACGTGTGCTGGGATTTCTTGATATTGGAGTACGATATTTGATTGCAACATTTTCTTCTGCGCCCCTCCCCCAACCTTGGATTTTACAGTGTTTTTGATCATCAAACAGTTTGCCTTTTCTAAGTTAAAAATACGACTTTAAATTAAGTACAGGGCCAAGGACAAAAATACCAAGTCCGTGCGACCGCCGTCACACAGGCGTTGATATCCGGCAACCTACACTTTAGTGCAATGAGGAAGGATTAAAATCCCCGGAACCAAGTATCTCTCATTGCTTAAAGAATTGGAGAACAGATACTACATTTTCGTCCCAGTCCGAAGGCTGGAACTTAAGTTTTTAATGGGATCGTAAAAGAAATTCAAATAAACATACTTGACAAGAATGTCAGACGAATGATATCCTCACCTCAAAACAAGAATCAACGTGACGTACATCTTGTTTGTGACGTCATCCTGTCTCATATTATTATATCCAGATATTTCCAAGCAACGAAACGCTCTGAAGATAAGCGCAGTCAGAACATAAATAAAACAACTGCAGCAACAAAAAGAAACCAAGAACAAAACAAAAAAGAAAACAAATGAATAACTATGCAAAAGAATTTACGCTCCGTATCCAAAAGAAACGGCGAGTCCACATCTTACGACCATTTCAGCAGACAAAATGATGATTTTCTTTCGCAACTTTCATCTAAGACATTAAGCATTGCTATTAAGGAATCTCTTAAAAGGACGATCGATGATAAAAAACCTCTAGCAATATTTTTTCGTTCCAATAATAATCTCCTACAAAGTACTAATCAAAATGTCACTTACTCAGAAACAGTTGTTAGTTATCTGAGAGAGAACTTTATTATTTTTGATTGTGAATTTTGTTCAGTTGAAAATCGGAGCGCTGTAATTCTTTCGTTGCAGAAAGAACTGGGAAACGCCATTTCGGAAAAATTAGAAGATTATACGGCCAACAGACTACCTGTTGTTCTTGTTTTGACTAAATTTGATTCAAATGTTTTGATTCTTGGCGAGTTTTACATCGGGGCAGATAATAAAGAACTGGAACCATTCCTGAGATCAGCACTGGATATTTTCAAGGCCCAAAAGGAGTCGGAAGCTGGGATGAAGTCCGAAAGAGACCAGCGGCAAGCGTTGATCAGAGAACAGGATCAGGCTTATCAACTTTCGTTGCTAGCTGATCGGCGGAAGGAATTGAAACGACTCGAGGAAGAGGAAGTGCGGCGTAAAGAGCGTCTGAAGAAATCGGAGGAAGAATGCATTCAAAGAAAAGAGGAAGAAAAACGAGCTAAATTCCTCGAGTCTCTATCCAAAAAAGTTCCTCCTGAACCGAAAGCAAAGTCAAAATGGCCGACTGCTTTTATAAGATTTCGAGCTCCTGACGGAGCGGTTTTTGCACGTAGGTTTTTAACTCGGAGCAAACTTAGCACTTTACTGTTGTTTATAGAGTCGAAGGGCTACGATACGGACGCCTTTAAAATACTCTCGTTACATCCAGTGCGTGACATCACTGAGTTTGACCGAAACCTAACGTTGGAAAAATTAAGGCTCTATCCAAGAACGGTTCTTTACATACAGAATCGTACGTAATAAAGTCATCCGGAATTAAATGTTAAAACATGCTTTCCGATAAACAAAACTTTTCACATTTTCGATAAAACTTACAAAATTTTGGCTTCCATATTCTTTTGAAAGATTTGCACAAAATACATAAGAAAATGTTTAATGTAATTACTCAAATAATATAACTCTATAAATAATATAGCTCGAATCTTACCAGGTTACCATCTTATTAGGAATGTTACTTCTTGATACTATTGACTTCAGGAAGCGTGCAGAACCTTTGGAATGCGCTTGAAAACTATACCACGGATTGACCCATGCCTTGTAAGTGAAAATCAGTAGATGGGACTATTCAGAAGCCGTCAATAGTTGTTCTGCCGCAAAGTCTCATAAGTCATCGTGACCGAGGTTTTGGGTATACGGATATATGTGATCACGCATGATTATGTGCTCTAACCTGAAAACTGTAACTATGATCCACTCAGCTCCGTAGGTGTTGAATAAACACAAAGGTGCCTGAGCAGGTGTCTGTAAGAGGGATTAGATAGTCGCTCTAGCATACCGGTGTGCTCGGAAACACAGTTTGTTGAAAGTTTTGTTCATATTACTATTCACCATTAATAGTCAACCGGACTAGACTCACTAACCAGCACTCCTTGCTAGTGTTAGCGTTGTTTGCTACCTAGTCTTTATGAATTTAAGTGCTGTACTAGACTGGCGAAGAGGTCTCATCAATATACAGTTGAGATGGCGAGATGTAGTCGTAAGTTCTATGCCAATGTATTACTTTTCCTTTGTTCCCGTTCCTTAGCAATGTTTCTGTTTTCTAATTCTTCCATACCCAGTCAGACCTTGTGTCTTAGTGGCTTTACTGCCTTGCTTGGAGTGAACTCGCTTAAACTAATTCATATATATATATATATATATATATATATATGGTTAGACCGGGATTCGAATATTACCACGATCGATTCGTCAAGGAGGTGACTTCTTGATGTTATCTCTCTGCAGAGGCGATCTAAGCATGTGACACCGGCAGAAAGTGCCTGAAAACCATACGACGAGTTGATCCAATCCTTGTAAGTAAAATTAAGATAACTATTCAGAAGCCAAAAATGATTGTGCTACCACGGTGACACAAGTCATCGTGACCAAGGTTTTGGGTCTACTAGTCTACTGCTGATCACGTTAGATTATGCGCTCTCTCTTGAAAACTGTAACTAAGGGCCGCTCAGCTCTGTAGATATTGCACAAAAACAAATGTGTGAGCAGGTATCATCAAAAGGGATTTGCTAGCGATCTTAGCAGTCAGATGTAGAAACTAGTAGCTGGTCATTATTATAGTAGACATAATATGAGACAAGAAAAGAGTGCTTCATTTTCTGTTGTTTTTTCTTCAAGATATTCTATCAAACTATTACAACCCCCGCGAGTTCGATCCACACTGCTTACTTCCTATTTGTTGCCTTCTAGACTAGAGGTGCCCTCCCCACACTTCTCCGCCTTCAAAAGCGTCTTCACTGCATTGTGTGTGATGAATTATTTCCCACGGATTAAATGATGCTAGCCCCACCCCCGTTACTCTGTAGCTATTTCTATGCCAAATGTTCAGACGAACTATATTCCTTTGTTCAACCAGTTCAGACCTTCACAGCTAGCACTAGCCATGTCATCTACTCATCACTCTCATCGTATTCCATTGGTAAGTAGGAAATTCCTTATAAGTTACTTTGTGGAATAAACTCCTGAGAAGTTGCTTCACTGATCACTACGATCTAAACTTCAAGTCTTGGGTCAAGCGTTATCTCTTCTACATATCCTTATAATATGCTCTTTTTACCTCTTCTTTTTACGCTCTTAGAACATCATTCAGTTATCCTCTTAGTTTGAGTAGCTCCTGGGGAACACTGTCGAAAAAAAGCTTAGGTCATAATAGTTGTAAAGTGATAGTTAACAAGCTAATCTTTCTAAATCATTCGTTAATCTTGTGAGTTCGTTTCTCAGGGAAGGTCCTTACACTTGTGATCTTGAATAAGATAAAAAGTGTCTTACTGTGGAACAATAATTGATCAAATGGTCTTGCAAATCGTTACAACTGTGATTGATTTGATCCTCTCTGCGTGCTTCACAACTGATGCCTTGTGCCGTGCTGAGACAAACACAAGTCACGGTGATTGTAGATAGGTCTAGCGTATTTTTCAAAGTATAAGATCCAAAAACTTTTAATTTTTAACCCAAAATTTAATGTTGAAATCAGCTTGAATCCTATACACTAAAGATATGAATCACTTGGGATTCCTTTCGAGCTCATAAAAAGGAAAAATTGAGATGAAAAAGCTAATGAGCTAAAATAAAAGTGGCTGTTATATCCGACAGTTTAATAAGTCAGATGAAGTCTTGATGTTTCAATTAACAAATTCTTTAAGACTTTAATGAGGGCGAAAGAGTATGAATGTAGCAGGAAGATTTAGCTACGATCCTTATTGGACTAAAGAAAAGAACGATACTTGCTCAGGTGTGTATGTGAGTTAAGAATTTGTGGTAGAAATTAAGATTGATATAGTGATTGAGTCATTTAAGAAGTGTGGTATCAGTAATACAATCGATGGAACTGAGGGTGGCTTTCAATTTGATCATAATATTGGATGCAATGATGAAATGTCTGATCTCTTTCCAAGCCACAGTAAAAAACAATAGAGATTTTGTACGTTTTCAAACAAAATAAATAGCAATAAACCTTTTCACTTTTAAAAGTATTTAAACAAGAGATACTGATTTTTAAAATATCAGACCAAATTTCTGTTCAATAAAAATCTTTCCAAGGCGACTAGTTTCTTTTTTCTCCCAAAACTTTATTTCTAAGATAAGTGTGCGTCTTATACACTGGTACATCTTATATACGGGTGCGTCTTACGTCACCGAAAAACTAAATTTCTGTTCAATAAAAATCTTTTCAAGGCGAATATATTTTTTTTTCTCCCAAAACTTTATTTTCAAGATAAGTATGCGTCTTATACACTGGTACATCTTATATACGGGTGCGTCTTACATCACCGAAAAACTAAATCTTTCCAAGGCGACTATTTTTTTTTTTTTTTTTTTTCTCCCAAAACTTTATTTCCAAGGTAAGCGTGCATCTTATACCCTGGTACATCTTATATACGGCTACGTCTTATATCACTGAGAAATGCTGGAAATAGTCTGATTTCTCGTTATTTCCAGTATGTCTTCTTATGGACGAAGTTTAAGTATAATTAAGGAAATACATTATATAATAATAAAAATCATAAAATTTTCGTGTATAAATATATAAACTGAGTTTTAAACAGATGTGAAATTTTTATGAGCGATGTTTTCAATTTCTCTTCTTAGTTTTTTATAATTTTCAGTTATGAAAGTATTTGTCCTACAATGCTCGCAACCTAATTTAAAGTGGATGGTACTTAAGTGAATATTTACTAAAAGGAGTGGTTGTAATAAGAATGATCAAGGTGCATATTTCTAAACAAAGCGTCCTGGTTCATCTATTTAAAATTCAAGTAGACATTCATATAAATTCTAACCTACTTCCAAAGATCTGACCCGACTACCACACAACCTCTTCTTGGTCAGTCCAAGAGCTTTTCAGTATAACCTATAAATAAATATTTTAAAACGTGTTGTTTTTATGGAGCAGTGCTCAATAATAGAGCCTTTGAAGATAAAGACAGTATAGGCGTAGGAATCAACACTGCTGGTTTTTGCACAGCACTTAGAAGAAAGGTCGGTGACTGAATAGCGAGCTAGAATATTTTCTAGCTCTCCAGTCACATCACCGACCCTTCTTCTAGGTACTTTGTCCTTTCAGGACGTGGAGAATCATGGTTCCCCACAACTTCCTTATCCCTGGTAATCACTGACAAAGTTTGTCTCTTTACCCTGTTTTTTCAGCTGTCTCTTTCTAATTCAGATTATCTTTTTCTATGTGCCGTTTCCCTTCAAGACGTGGACAATCGTGACTCTCCACAACTTCCTATCCATTGAAACGTTGCTTTCCTCTGTCCCTTTTACATTCAAATTCTCCATGCTCTTTCCTTATTATGTCCATCCTCTTTAAACATTTTCTTTCCATCATAAATGCACATTTACACCTTCCAGAGAGACCAGCATTAGCTTTTGAGAGGATCTTCAAATGGCTACGACAACGGCGATAGAAAACAACTCAATACGGGTCACACAAAGTTCCTCCCACTTCTCAAGGCCGGATTTTCTTAGCTTATTCTTCCCAGAATTCACCGTTATCTTTTTGCAAACACATTCGGTTCAGAAAACTACACCACCGACGAACTGCTGCTTCAACCTTGTCCAAAACTCTCGATCATTTTTCTCCAGCGGTAAGTAACGAACAATCCAAGCATCCAAAGCAGAATATAAAAGACGTTTAAAGTCATTAGATTTGTTCTGAGGCAACACAACACATCGTGGTCTATTTTTTACAGTATGCTAAAAATGCTCTGGAAATTCTTCTTACCTGTGTTACCAATTGTTTGAAAGTGATGAAAACAAAATCTTAAGAAAATTCAATCCAGGGAATGTCCCCGTTTTAGCTGTATATTTTTATGCATGTTTTCTTCGGTTTTAAATTTTGATATTTGAAATAAGTTTAATTTAATTTAGGTTATGAAATTTTATAATATTTTAAAAGTCAACACCCAGAGGCAACGGTCTGTTTCATATTAAACGCAATCATCACGCTAAGTCGGCTCTAGGGGTTGATTTCAATGTCCACTTCGATAGATAGATAGATAGATAGATAGATAGATAGATAGATAGATAGATAGATAAGGAATAGAGTGAGATAGATAGATAGATAGATAGATAGATAGATAGATAGATAGATAGATAGATAGTCAGTCAGTCAGTCTATAAATTAATAAATGTTCAAGCAAATTTTCTCTTTACCAACTCCTTCAGGGTTTTGCGTAACACCGCTCATCAGGGTTACAGGATTGGTTAAATTTATACTCTAATACCCTCTGACCATCTTATATTTCACTATATATATGACTGTGTATCCTATATCAACTTATGAAAAATAAAGTAGTCGACATCGATGCTGATGGTAAGCGTTCAAGCACAAGGAAAAGCAAGAAAATTTCGAACATTGATATTCAAGAAAAGATGGAGGAGTAGCATAACCGTTATCGACGTTCAAAATCAACCCTCGTCTCTTGTGTTTACTTTCTGATAAATACCCTTGTTAAAGGTATGAATTTATCTCTTTTTCATATAGCTATGAATTAAACAGCAGATTAGACAGGCTTTCCTAGCCTTGTGACAGCCAGTCTAAGAAAATTATTATTTTGATTTAAAATCGGTAGAGAATACAACTGAAAATCTCGCAAATATCTTGTACAAGAAAATAACTTAATTTATAGTTAATAAATAAAAACGTCTGGTAAATCGATGCGAAGAGTCAGGAACATCCACGGCATGGCATTAAAAAATGATTCAAGAAGTCAATATTTCTGTTGTTTTTTAGTTATTACTACCTGATCAATTTTACTGCAATTACTAATGTTTGGTTACCTTCTTCTAATTTTCGAAACTGCTCTTAAGGGACGCTCTCAGGACTATAAATACTCTACGATAATTTTCATTTCTGTCCATTCGCCAATATGTAACCTCTCGCGGAAAACACGTTCTCTGTTGGAAAAGCATGAATAATATACACACACACAAACTTACGTAGGTACATTCACTCACTCCACATACTTTGCCCTCACATAGTTTTTACATTCATTTGTGACATCATTGTCTATATCGCTTGTATACCTTTGTTGTTAATACATTATCATTTGTTTGTACATATATATTGGTTCTTGTTGTTTCTTTACATTTCTTTACGTGGACTCATATCCTGAGTTTGCCATGTTTGTTGTGGGCATTTCAGGAGGCACACGTGTTTATCTCTCAACGCATACACCAGCCCGCGACATTACCTTTTCACTTTTGCTGTTATTACTACCTGATAAATTTTATTGCTTTTAGTACCTGTTCAATTATCCTTCCATAACTAGCTGTTCAATTTTGTTATTACTTCCTGCTCAGTTTTACCGTCCTTACTACCTGTTCAGTTTTACTATTATTACTACTAGTTCAATTTCACTGTTATTACTCCCTGTTCTGGTATTACTGGTTCGATTTAACTGCTATTGCGACAAGCCAAATTCTACTGTCATTAGTATCTGTTCAATTTCATTTTTATTGTAACCTGCTCAATTATACTGTTATTACTACTCAATTTTACTATCATTACTTCCAATTTTACTGTTTTCATTGGTTTTCTACTCTTGTTATTACTACCTGTTCGATTTTATTGTTATTATTGCTGGTGTGGTCATAAGACTTTAGCGACTCTGATGTTTCAGATTGGGCTTTTCTCCCCTCTACACCGGTTTCTCGGTATTTATCGCCGTTCTCTGCCTTGTATCCGCCTCGTTTGTTCTATCACAACTGCACGTATCGTACAATATACCCCGATAGAACTCACTCTTTTCTCCAAGATGGTCTCGTTTGACAGAACAAGTCACTGACCTTCTCTCAAACTGAAGTCCTACTCTCTCTTTAATTCGTACCCGATAGGTGTAGATCGCATTGGCAGGCGCACTTGTAGTAGACACGTCGTCTTTTTGTGTTGTATTATATCTATACACCGCTTCCATGACTGTACACTGCTTTCTGGCGGCAATCCTTTTTACGCTTCTGTGGCACCTTTTTGCTATGCCATTGCCACTTGGTACATGCGCGCATCGCAGTCGATGCTGGATCCCCCAGTCGTCCAGGAAGCGCTCAAACTGTCTGCTGCAGATGGCAGTATCATTGTCAGAAAGGATGACACTTGAAGAGTCTTGCGGCAATGGTCGCCAGGCTGCGAATCTAGTGCGTCCGCAATCTATAAACGTAAGGAAATGCTGGCCGCCGTAATGTGTTATATCCATAATCAGCCTGTTCCAAGTGCTGCTTACCTCCAGCTTCCCTTTTGGCCATTTGACTGGTGCGGGTTTGTCTATTGACTGGTACGTTTGGTACCCCTTGACTACAGGCCTGACGGCACACGTGGGCGCTGAGAAATTGGTCAACCGTACGAAATAGTACGTCCTTCTAACACCGAGGTGCCCGTTGCAACGGTGTATTTTCATTATCTCGTCTGCCTCCTCCACAGAAGCAGCACATACCGGTGGTACAGGCTCAACGTCCCTTTTTATGGCGCCATACCATGTTTGTGGCACGCGGATGAATCTGTCAACGAAGTTGCATTTTGATGTTACTAATATTACATCCACGGACAGATCATATTCAGTGACTAGTCTCTTGATAATCTCCAACATTCTCCTGATCAGCATTTCGCCCGATGCCTTAGTTCACACTCTGGATTTACCTGTCAAGGTATCCGACACCCAGTGGTATACGCATAAGGAATCAGTCTGTATATGAAACTTTTTAAGTCTCCACTGGAGCGCTGAGTTGAAGCCCTTCAGTACAGCGTCCAGCTCTGCCAGATTAATATGTGCAACGTCATTTATTGGTCGCAGCCGGCACGCGTCCTTAATTGCCATTCCGTCCTTCTCCAATAAGACTCCAATCGCTACTGGGCTTGCATCGACCCACACTTTCATTTCTTCCCTATGCACACACCAATCTACTCTGGCAGGGGCCGTTCTTCTTTAATCTTGCTATGGTCTCCGTCACTATGAGAATAAGCAATGGGCCGGTCGTCTCATCGTCCCTACCCTTGGTGACCGCACTTGCCCTGCGCTTCACGGTGCCTGCCGTCACGCGGAGACATCCGTTCACCGGTACAAGCCATTCACGTAGAGAAAAAAGCTTGTTTATCGGTATTTATTGTCGTTCCCTGCCTTGTGGCCGCTTCGTTCGTTCTATCACAATGTACCCGGACAGAATCTTCTCTTTTCTCCAAGATGGTCTCGTTTGACTGAACGGAGCAATCGCTTTCTCTCAAACGGAAGTCCTAAGTGCCATGCCCAGACGAATTCTGTCTCTCTTCGAGACGCCGGTAAGTCCCGTTCCACGCTTCCGCCCCTCAGCATGGGTTCTGGTTCACTATTTTTGCTACAACTAGTTCAATTTTGTTGTTACAATTGCATGTTCAATTTTAGTCATTACTATCTGTTCAACTTTACTGTTATTACTATCTGTTTGATATTGCTGTTACTCTTACCTGTTAATTTTTATTGTTATTATAACCTGCTCAATTGTACTGTTATTAATAGCTTTTTAACCTTTTGTTATTACCAGCTATTCAATTATATTGTTATTACTACCATCTGGTCAATTTGATTATTATTACTACCTGTTCGATATTACTGCTGTTGGTACCTGCTCAATTTACTGTTATTATTAGCTTGTGGTGTGCTAATGAGATTTGGTTCAAAATTGTTAAGAAGGCTGCGTTTTTGATTAGCACATCACATTTAAATTTTACAAAGAAACACAAAGAAGGAATAACAAGAGATTATTCAGTAATCAACAATAACATGTATTGAAAAACAAGCGAGTACAACAATTGTGTTTAGTGAAACAAAGTTAAGAGGAAGTAGTTCCCCTTGTACTGATGTGAGATTATAAATATATGTTAAAAGAACTTTCTTGTTTAAAATGTTCAGATTTCAGCAATATGTGATAACTGAGTTTAAGTATGAGAAAGTTGTACAAAAGAATGATAGAATTCTGAGTTGGTTACTTGGCGTTTTGGACAGACAGTTCACAGCGTAGTGCAATTGTAATTTTGTGTCTGTGTGTGTGAGTAGAAGAATGAGAATTCACGTACGTGGTTGAGCTCTGGAGATTTACTGTTCTACTACTGTTCTTTTCTTTGATTTTCGTGTTATTTATACTTTCTGAATAGGCTCCAAGAATGAGAGTGGGAAAAATATTGAAAGGAGTGTTATATTATATTATTGGTCAAAAATCAACCAATCACTGATTTTTTTCTAAACCATGTTTGGCAAAGTAAACATCAGAAAATTTGATGTGGCTCATGCGATGCATAAACTGTCCTATAGAAAATAGTGCTTATTTTCTATCCAATGGCTATTGAGTATTTTGTGGGTGTGGTGTATGTAAACAAGCGCTACAAGGTCTTCATTTTCTCACTGGCTCCCTACTCTTGTAACCTTGTCAAACTAACCTAAGACTAGTAAATAAAATTGATGACTGCACTTGACTGATACAGTTAAAAGATTATGAAGAATCATGAATAGGCAATAAGCAAAAACAATGTCAAGCGCTTATATCTAATCGATCTCCAATGTACTTTCGTCATCGGTCTTATCAATATGCCGAGAGTTCCGTGTCAAAGAGATATTTCATCTCTTATCTTTTTTTTTCTTTAAAACTTTAAAAAATATATCATACTCTTTTCCACGAAATCGCTAAAGGATTTTATGATTACCTTTTTCTTCTTTTTTTAAGTTTAAAAAAGAAAAGAAAAGAAAAAGGATAAGACATATCTCTCTGACACGAAACCCTCGGCATATTGATAAGACCAATGACGAAAGCACATCGTAAACCGATTAGATATAACAGTCTATCTTCTTTAAATAAAATCCATTCTTATTGAACTACTCATACCAGTAAAAGCCTAAGTACCACATAAATTTAATAAAATTTATTCATTAAGATAGTAGAGTACAAACTAAAAATGAGAGTTTTGGAACTCCTGTTTACGATCCGTGCGCTCTTGTTCTGATTAACGTGTGACATTTTGTGTAGTATCTGCACTTCTCACTGCTGTGTTTCTGCTTTCTGACATTTCTTCTTAAATTCCATGTCCCTTTAGGACGTAGACGATCGTGGCTCACCACAACCATCTCGTATAAATCTTCAAATTTTACTCGCTCTAAGCAATTTAACCTATTGATATGAGAAAACGGCTATATACAGCTGACAGTTTAGATATTTCTGAACGGGTTGTGAGCCATGGATGACATCCATATAAAAGTCTGGATCTCACGAGGCTATTTAAAAACAAAACTAGCGTTTTCAGGTTTATGTTTTGGTTTTGTAGCAATTTGCGCATTTCTATTCCATGTTCAATTTTCTTATTTCCTATACTAAATTTGTTATAACTGATCAATACACCGATGTATTTTAAGTGTTTAATACATATATATATATATATATATATATATATATATATAGATAGATAGATAGATAGATAGATAGATAATATTAGTGATAAATATACACATACATATGCAAAATATATAAATACACATACACATACATAAATATTTTTGAATAAAAAAATTCCAAGAGGATAGAATCCAGGTAGAACTCAATGTCCAGGACAGAGTAAGGATATAATAAAAAGGCTTAGCGTTTAAGCCTTTTTTTTATATATATATATATATATATATATATATATATATATATATATATATATATTCAGACAGGTTTCGTTAAATAATTTATACACGTTCTGTTTACTTATTTTCGAGAAGATCCTTTATCATATTCGCGGAAAAGCTTTTTTGTGCGGTTGTTAAAAGTTGTTTATGAATTTGAATGTCCTCTGGGAGATTGAATCTCCAACGATACAAATAATATCTATGTTAGACACACGACAACAACGCTTTCACGTAGTCTAAGTCTTCACCTGAATAATACTTCCAATATTTCTAAACACTTACAAAATACCTCTCTACACTTGTAATTCAGAAAAATCCTCATCAAAAATACCTCCATACTTTTCCATGAAAAGAATAAACACAAACTAAAAATTCTCGAAGCTATTTATATAAAAAATTGAAACCAAACCTCAATAAAAATTAATTTTTAAACTTTAAAACGTGTACAATAGATAGTATTTAAATGTTAGCGCTTGTCATTAATAGTTTTTACTTTATCTAGCAACTACTCAAGCCCGGGACCTTTCTACAGCATACCTAGTTACCTCCTTTTAAGCGGTGTCTGCCAACCTGGAATGACACAGCGTTCCTGATTCCACATATAAAAATGATAATCTTCGGATGACCGCAACAATTTTTGTCCTTCACAACCATGGACACTAAATACTTACTCTATATTTAACAATACCCTGATGATGATATTTTGCTATGTCGAAAATACTCGGAATAAACACAATATGAGCCAACACGGTGTTTTCCTCTCGTCATTTAACAACCGCACAAAGAAAGCTTATTCGCGAATATGAAAGGATTTTATCGAAAATAAGTAGACAGAACGTGTCTAAATTATTTAACGAAACCTGTCTGAATGAAACCATGCTGCCGAAATACATTATTCCTATATACAGGGGTTGGGCAAAATAACTGAAACACTTGTTAAATTCAAAGAAAATTTATTTAATATGGAGTTGGCCCTCCTTTAGCTTCACATACAGCTTTAATACATCTAGGAATGGAATCATACAGCTTCCTGTCTTCATCCAGAGGAATTTTCAGCCATTCTTCCATTAATACCTGCTCCAGCTCTTTAAGACACGACGGTGGAGGATAGCTGCTCCTAACTTGTCGCTCCAAAATGCACCACAAATGTTCAATAATATTGATATCTTGAGATTGGGAAAGCCACTCCATGTTTTCTAGCTCACTTTTATGCTCTTCATACCAATTCTTAACCACTCGAGCGGTATGTATTGGAGCATTATCGTCTTGGAAGATGCAGTCACCATCAGAGAATGAAGTCTGGCCCATTGGATGAACATGATCTCCCAAAATGTTCAGGTAATCTTTGCTGTTGATTCTACCATGCAGGGCAACTATTGGACCGAGACATTTCCATGATATGGCGGCCTAAACCATCACTAAACCTCCATGCTTCACTGTTGGAAGAAAACACTCAGAGTTGTAAGCTTCTTTGGGCTGCCTCCACACATAAACTCGCACTGAAGTTGGGAAAAGAGAAAAACTGGACTCGTCTGAGAATATGACTTGCTTCCATTGGTCTGCAGACCTGGCATTGTGATATCTGCACCACTTCAACCTCTTTTGAATGTTGCGAGTGGAGAGAAGAGGTTTCCTTACGGCGGCTCTTCCATGATATCCAGCCTTATGGAGCTCACGACGAACAGTTTTAGTTGAAACTGGACTATTCAGATGATTATTCAACTCAGCAGTCACTTTGGCCGTAGTAGTCCGATAATTTTTTTGCCACATTGCGTTTCAATGCACGTCGGTCCCTATCAGTAAGTTTGCGAGTCCGGTCCGAATACCTACGGTTGCTAGAGGTTTTGTCCTGTTTCTCGAATTGCGTCATAGTTCTTGATATGGTAACTCTTGAAAAACCAAACAGTTCAGCAACCTTAGTGATCGAGGCTCCTGCTATATGAGCGCCAACAATTTGTACTTTTTCGAACTCAGAGAGGTTATGCATTTAGCTTAAATTTTAATAAATTCTAAAAATAAATAAGACAAAGACAGTAAATTAGATAAATAAACGTATTTACAATAGATATTACGAAGTTTTAGTTAAAGTTCTAAATATAATAGTTCTTTGAAATATAGGAGGGGAATTTGCACCTGTTCCAATTATTTTTTTATATATATATATATATATATATATATATATATATATATATATATATATATATGAATAATGTATTGTCGGAGTTATCTCTTCCTAAAATGGAAATGGCCTACTTGAAGGCGCTCTCGAATACTATGTATACTCTGCAAGATCTTTGCCTCTCTCTCTCTCTCTCTCTTTCTTTCTTTTTTTCATGAGCTGACACTAAAACAATATACAACTCTTGTGAAGATTGCGTTTTCTCCTTTGTGGGGGGGAGGCTATGCGTTCCGATCGAGAAGCACCATGAGCATTACACACATACACACTCACGTACTTACGCACATTCACTCATACATACTCTGAAACGAACTTTCCACATTAATTCGTACACACACATTATCATTTTGTAGACTGTTGTTTAACACATTATTATTTGGTTCTTGTTTCATTACATTTCTTTATGGTGGATTCAATCTTCGAATCCCCCATGTTTTGTTGTGAGTCATTTCAGGAGACGCACTTGTTCATCTCACAACACGTATACACAAACCCGCAACAGTATATTTAGGCGGAAATTCCCGGAAAACTCTTAATATGCCTGAAAAAGAAAAATCGGAGTGTAATCACCTAATACTAAAGAAGTAAGAAAATCCATGAAATGAAATATGAAAGTAGGTCAAAAAGTAATGTCTGTTATTTAATTAAAACAGATTTCGATATACAAAAAGCATACCAAAATGAAAACAAATGTCTCTTGATTCCAAACCAAGACTTCAACATAGTCATCGTTATTTCTCAAACCTTGTATTTTTTTAAAGTGACAAGGTATACTCGGCTTGAATGCTTTTCTTAGCTATGTACAAGTTACTTTTATTACCTCGCCACTCACCACCAATCTTTAGAGTTGTCTCTCTTAACTAACCACTAAAGAATCTTTATCTCCAAAGTCCTACCCTTGATCTTCAGCTTCAGCTATTCTTGGGCACCAAACATCCTCTACTTCTTCATGGAGACTATCAACATTCAGGGAACCGATTTTGTACAGACCTTAATAGTCAAGAGACTGCATTTAACTACAAGCACCACCATGGCTCATCTGAAGGCTTGAACATTAATGATGCAACAGCTGATGCCGCGACTAAAAATCCAAACACCTGAAACGATTTACGTGATAGATATGATTAGCTTTAAAACAAAATATTTGACCACAACCTGAAATTTTAGCGTCGAAGATAAAGCCATTCAGTAATCTTGTCATGTCAACATGGATAGTGTTCCAACAATAAAAAATCTTTATGGGCATCTAAGCTCAATGATATCAGCTATAAAATGGTTACTGTTGTTGATGCTATACTTTAATCTGTAGATTGAAATAAACTTTTTGCCTTATTTAACCGCGTGATTAAACAGTCGTATACAAATGCTGAAGTGAGGAGTCTCCAAAAGTAGTAAAGAGTAATAATTCTAAAGAATGTGTTAAAACGAAGACGAAATCATCAAATACTTTTCGGTGAGAAGTAACCAGAGAAGAAATATACAAATATTTGTGACAGCATTTTTTGTGCAAGCAAATGTATTTTTTCAGTTTTAATTTCTTCAATTTTTTTCAAATTCAAATGAAATTAATGTCAGACAATTTAATATTTATTCACTTTGAAATACATAAAATATATTTTTGAAATATGTTGTGCAAAAGTTTTTAGTTGTAAGAGTTAATATAAATTTTATTTGGTTTTTATTCAAGAAGCGTCGATTTTTGGCCGGAATCTTGATTGATAAACCTATAAAAAATGGTCTCACCAAAGCGTAGTCTCTGCTGTTTGTTATGTTACTTGATACATTATTGACTTGAAAATATCTTTCATTCAGTTATGATTGGTTGAATATATTTAGATATTATGATTTTGACGTTGTCAGTTTATATTTTATCAAAACAACATTAGTCATTTCAAACTAGAAATGCTTTGAACTGTAAAAAGTTCACCGATTTTTATCACATTATACTGTCTATTCGAAAAGCTATTGTATATGTAATATTAATACATTTTCCACGAAAAGGTTTTTCATGTTTATCTATTTATTAAGATAAATATTAAGTCATATGTTTTCTCTTATTTACTTGGAACCAAATGTTCAATTTGGCCAGAATCTTCTGGCCAGAAAATTTTATTTGGGAAAAGCATTCTTACTCAAAATTAGCTCTTTGAGCTTCAACAATATTTATAAAGGAATCAACTCCACATATGAAACGTTGCTCGCTTTTATCACTATTTCCATGGCACATGTTCGGACGAAATACATTCTTTGGTCCCACCAGTTCATTGGATCTTTACAGCTAGGACATATCATTATGTCACGTACACATGATCAAATCAGATCTTCACAGCTAGGACATATCATCATGTGACGTACACATGGTCAAATCATTCGCATTCCCTTCATATTTCATTGGTTAAGAGAAAGTTCCACTCAGACAGCTTCTTCCCCCAGAACTTTTGCAATGTGGAACGAACTCCCGAGGGTATGTTCCCTGTTCGCTACAGTCTTAACCTCTTCAATTCAGAAGTTGGATGTTACCTATCCTACATATCCTCATTTTATTCAACCCTCCCTATATACAACACTCTACCTTTTAGCACTTGGTGGTGGGTCAGAACTATCAGATCTCGCAGGAAAGGGTTTGCGGGAGTTTCGAAACAAGCGCCGACGATTCTCGCCCCGTGCCAGCGCGCCAAGTCGTCTTGCCGTGTCGTCTTCTCCACGTCCGCCAAAGGGCACGCTGGAGAGTACTGCCGGGGCGGTAGCTCGGCTTTTTGCTAAGCTGCTTTCCGTCACCTCGGGTCCGCGACGTCTACCGGTAACTCACTCGACCAGTCTTGAAACACGGACCAAGGAGTCTCTGACGAACCCCGAAGGCGTAGCGAAAGCAAGAGAATGCGTGGGGGTGGGTAGGAGAGGTTTCGCGGCGAAAGAAGTCAAGTGGAGAGTCTACTTCCTTCCGCCGCCTAGCCGTGCTCAATCCCGCCGACGCTTGCCTCATCGTCCCATCGTCCTTCTCCTTCTCCATCTCGAAGCAACCAATTCGCATGCATAGACAGTTTATAAATGAATCTACACTAACATGCAATTAGCCCGCTCACCGATGCCTAATTTACCTATATATTTATCAGGCTGAATGAAGCATAGGGCCTCAAAATCTTGGGGTTCTCCAGCCAAGGAGTATAATATTTTTTACACTGTCATAGGCTTTTCTTGTAGATGATGTCATATTGCATTATAGACTCAAAATAACCCTTCAGTAATTTTAAACATGAATCATAATCCTCGGATTCACTCAAATTGTTTAGTTTAAAACACTCTCCCATTTTCGTCTACTCGTAAGAATAGAGTATTTGAGGGTTGGATTTCACAAGTTGAATAGCGTAGGGTCTCTCTTCTTCTAAATCCGGAACACATTCAGATTTTCCATCTAAATGCTTTAACTTTTGATGCACTTTGTTTATCATGGCTGACACTTCAGCAAGTTTTTCATACAAATAATTGATAGAAAATTATTGTGCTATTTGTCCTTGTCCAACAAATACCTTTTAGCGATTGTACCGATGACACTATAGTTAATTTATGCCTTCGATCCTCGCAATAATTATAACAATAAATATTACTCGATGCCAATGTGAATATAACTAGTGTTAACACAAAAATGGGTCTCTCATTAGTAAGTAGAGAAGATCCGACTGCTAATTCATCGATTATTTTGTTCTTTTGTGTCGTGTTAGCTTTCTTTGGAAATGTATACCTTTCATTATTTAAAACGGACAACAATATATCTAATTGTATATATATTAATTTTAAAATGATAGCTTACGTCGGCCAGTTCTAGACAATCGCCTAACAGATTGTAAAGAGACATGAAACAACAGAAATGTGGTTCTACAGAAGGATGCTGAGAATACCATTAACCGAACTTGTGAGCAAAAATGAAGTTTTAGAGAAAATGGAAACAAAAAAAAAACTTATATTTGACATCAGAAAGATACAGTCGAAATTTCTAGAGTACATAATGAGGAAAGAGGGTTTGGAAAATCTGCTACTCAAGGAATAGACTGAAGACAAGGGAGTAGAGGAAAATAAGGCATGATCTACCGAACGAGTTTGAGTAAATGGATGTTTGAACATGGTTTACGAAAGATAACAAAACACAAAATATATTGATCGCCAACGTCATGATGGGACACAAAGTAACAAGTTATCAGTTTATGCTGATTTTAAGTATACGTCAGAATTGGTGTATATTGATTTATTAATAACGAATATTTTTGACATAGCATGTTTTTTATTTGAAGGAAATTAAAATAATACAACGCAAACAAAAAGCATTCCTACACTTCATGGAGAATATATTGTATTTAATTGAATATATCAAAAGGAATTTGTAAGTTTCATTCTTGAGGTTTTTCGCTGAATAACACTCCGCAGACGAGTAGAGCAGTTGAATTTTATAGCATTCAAATCAAGCATTACTTGGGAGTAATCGCCAGTATATTACGGAAATCGCTAATATACTCAAAATAAACAAATCAGACCTTTTATCTTTCACCTAATCTAAGGCCTAAGAACCACTCAAGGTAACGAGTTATAAACGAGGTAGTTGCCCTGGGATCAAAGTAGCAGTTCTCACGTTTGTGAAGACTAAATGACCTATTAGGAAAAAGTGGGTGTCACAAAGGCTGCTCAGGGATTAGCTGATATCCCCTACCGTCAGGTCCTATGGCGTTACTGTAGTACTATGACACTAAGGAAAATACTACTAAGGAGATTAGGTGGGAACGACTGGAGCGACACCCACCTAACTAAATGAATGTTTGTGAGGGTCAGCTGCAAGGTTCATAGGTTGGCCAACATAATCTCATGAAATGTTACCAAATCAGGCATATTTTTCAACATAGTCCCCCATCTGCTTCTACTTTCGATGCTGCAGTGCTTGGTAAAAAATAGTCATCCACGGCAAATATGGTATCATCATCAATGCGATACTAGTTCCAAGGTAAACGTGTTTTATTTTTCATATTGGGAAACACCTGACAGTCAGATAGAGCCAAAACAAGAGATTAGGGAGGTTAATCAACTAGTTCAAGGGGTACAGTCATGCACAGAAGCCAATGAAACGAAGGACTCCTGAGCTGGAACATTGTCCTGATGAAACAAGACCACTTTTGTCAATTTGCTCCACTCTCCTTAATAACGGCATAAAGATTTTTAAATTTTTTGTTATACAGTTAAAAAAAAAAAAAAACTTTTCACACTATCACAAATATTTCTGTTTCTCTAAAGTTGAACCTAAATAATTATTATGGCACAATGAATTCCAAACTTTCTTCTTACTGATGGCAATTTACTTTTATAATTTTTTTTCTCAGGTGTTGATTTATGTTCATGCCTACAATATATAATTTTAAATTTTAATTTAAAATCGAAAAATGATCTGCAATATTATTGGTCCTGACATAACATCTCAGCTCCAGTCACTTTGCCCACTGCTGTAGCGTAGCTTCTCTATGCCTTTTCTATATATACTTTCAAGATAATGGTTCCGTTGAACTTTCTTCTCTGGTAATTAGAATTTAAGCGCAGTACTAGGTTGGCGTTTAGGTCTCATTATTTTACAGTTGAGATGTCTAGATGTAACTGTAAGTTCTATGATGTTTAGTTGAAATTCATCAAAATACGACGTCTCTCTTGAATTTCAACTTAACATCAAGAAGATAATTAAAGAACTAGAAAGGATTATCATGAAAATAGACATAATATATCTATATTATTTAATGAAACATGCTTGACTAAAGATATGCTGCCTCAACATTCATTTCTACAATCGTCTCTCGCGGATACCGAGGAAGGACTATATTCTCTTACTACTTCTATTGCACGCTTTTATTTTCACTAGGCGTCAATAGAACTTGTAGAATCTGAATCTCACATGGCATATTCGAGACAGGAAGATCGTAAAGAAATAGAGTAATCTTCCTAGCGAGTAAATCGTCTGTCCGTCTCGAGAGACGATGGAGTAAAGCGGTGGGCTACGAGCCTGGTAGGGATATATAGATAACTAGGGCTGCCTAGACGTCTAGTTCTCCCTCTCTGAGGATAAACCAATACAGTTTGGTACCAGCACGGCTGCAGGAGTGCCGTCCATTCGCCTTAGGGGCTCCACTCTGGATTTGAATTCAGAGTTGTCCTTCTCGCCAAGGTGTGAATCCTCTTCTTCTCCCTCCAGCTATGGGTAAATAGCAGGAGGGAGTGCCGTCCATTCGCCTTAGGGGCTCCACTCCGGGTTTGAATTCAGAGTTGTACTTCTCGCCAAGGTGTGAATCCTCTTCTTCTCCCTCCAGCTATGGGTAAATAGCAGGAGGGAGAAGAAGAGGATTCATACCTTTCCCAAGGGTATTAGCACGTAAGTGAATGTAATGGATTCGACTGGACAATTCCTCAATCCAAGCCGCTATCCATTACTCAACCGTGCCTCCTAGCGAGTAAATGGGTGAAAAAATAGGGTCTGGAAGAGATAGAAAGTCAACGAACATTACTTAGGTCTACAAAGGGTGGGAAATTGTAGAGAGTCATGATTGCCCACGCCCAGAAGATATACAGTGCATAAAAGAAGAAATGTGTATGTCAGTGTGTGCGAATACGTCATTGTGGTTGTTTATTTGTTTTTCTTCCTGATACAACTGCTTTCAGCTTATCCATGAAGAACACAATTCCGGTCCGTGTCTGACAAAACAAAGGGATTTGCTGTTGTTGATGCTGCTGCTGCATTGAAAACAAGATTATCAGCATGTTTTTTTTTCGCACATGTGTGTTTGTGTAACTTTCCCACAACGATAGGAAGAAAAAGACTCCTGCAAAAATGTATGCAGATATATTTGAGGGAAAATCGGAAGTCATTGAAAGTAAGTAATAGATAACAATTTTACTACACAGTATTGTAATAACATTGTTACCTAACGATTCTGACTTGTTTTGGAAAAAAATAACAAATCGCCATTTACTAATTTTTGGAAATTTGAAATAACTGACTATAAAGATACTTACGGCGATTTCACATGGACACTGCCATTTTGTTTCCTATCGAATACTATGGGTACCTCCAAAGGAAAGCGATGATACCTAAGGTTGAAAATACATTTTTGAAAATGAAAAATCTTTCTTAAAACTTTTTAGTTTTAATTCCAAGCTAATAAGTTAAATTTAATATTTCCAAAATACTTCGCTGTATTTAAAAACAGAATTTAAATTGATTTCAACGAGTTCTTTTTTATTATCATCAGCTAAAATCGTCCATACTGACAAATCTGTCAAAACGTTGTAATTCTCTTTATTAATTTTTTTTTTCAAAAATAAAATACTTTTCTGAAACTTTATTTGAGGAACATTAGCCGATTAAAGTTTAATTAATCTGATTTGAAACAAATATTACTTACTTTTACTTTAAAATGTCGCATTTTTTAACACTGAGGTGAGTATTTTTATGCGGTGTTGACAACTTTCTCGCTAGACTTATGTTCAGAAATGTTTTCTAGTGAGGACATAACTAAAACAAATATAACATGAAGGCCTTTTTATATATTTAAATGCCCAATAAACTTTAGAAATTAAGAAAATACTCAAAAAAATCTAATATTTTAGTGAATTTTAAGTACTTTGGCTTTATTGTCTAACTTATAAAGAAGCTTGTTGAGGAAATGTTAGAAAATTACCAATGAATTTTAACTTTACTAAAGTCACAGTTCTTAATTTCTAATAATGTCGCGTTTTAACATCTGTATTTACAAAAATCGATATGTTTATACGTACGTAAACTCAAAATTATACACATAAAATAATTTCAAAATTCTTTTTTAAAATATTGGGGTCGTTGAATTGTAACGAACTTTTCCATTTATAATTAGTAAATATAGTCTTAATTTAATAACGATATCACTTGACTAATTAAATTACAATTAATTACAAGTTAATACAGAAGTATATATAAAGTTTATAATTTTAATAAAAATTTGAAAAACAAATAATTCTTATAAATATTCATTATACATCAAAAACAATTTTTTTTCTAAAAAAAAAATTAGTGTGCATAATATATTTTATACCTAAAAGCAATTAAAGGCTTTTCTAATTAAATAAAATTTTACTTTTATTTCACTTTTATTTTATGATTCAGAGCAGATTTTCTGTAACTGAGGGTTCTGTCTGATCAAAAACATTTCATGATTTAGATTCTCCTAGAAGTTGTCCTTATAATTATATAAGCATTCAGCGATACAAAAAGAAAAAAATAATTTCTTGAAATTTCATAAAATTAAATAATTGGGGTGTTAACAAATGTAAAAATATATATATTTAAAAAGATTTTAGAAAAAAATGATTTAAAAAATAATTCAATTCATTTGTGAATAAATCCTGAATGTTTCATCAGAATATCACAACTATTTTTCAAAAATCCCCAAATCAGTGTGTTTTTCACCGCCAAAAGACACTAAAATTCCCCATATTAATTTATGGTCACCCACTGACGCAAGAACTTTCACGGTAACTGCTCCGACGAGCTACTTTCGATGGTTCCCAAACTGCATGAATTTAAACGTATTAATAGGATGGCATCTCAGTCCCACCCTTTCACTGTAGAAACGGTTAAATGTAGCCGTCTCATCTACTCCAATAACTTCATGTCTCGCACTTCCCATCTGTGGAACTACCTTCCTCATACTTGCTTCCCTGATAGCTATAATCTCCAAATATTCAAATGCAATGTCAATCGATATCTCCAGATGCTTTGAACTATTCCCCGTCCTTCTCTTCATCCTTTCCTCTATCACGCTTCTTTACTCTTGCTCCAACTCTCTGTAACCCCTTACGTGCTAGCGGCACTCACGCCATGAAACAAATGTGAAATGCTTAACAAAATCGTTTGACCTTTTCTCCTAATAACAAAGATTTTGACAATAAAACTTTGTTTTTATTAAATTTGAGGCATTTTTCCATCATGTAATTTTTTTTAAAGTGATGTTTACTTTGTACAATGCATTGTGGCCACTCTAAGTAAGAGGTACAGTTTATGCGGATATGTGCAGAAGACAACGGTTAATCGTAGACCTGAACAGGTTAAGACTGTAGTGATCAGGGAAGCAGCTTCTTGGAAATCAGATGGAAGTCAATGCGAACAAAACAAAGATACCTGCGCAGCCTGTTTCTGAACAAGAAACACCAGAAATTACTATTAATATAAGAGAATTGCCTCTGGAAGTTGTCGACGACTTTCATTATTTCGACGGCACTCTTCTCACAACATGCGAAAGAGAAATCGACCATCGCATGAAATCCACTCACTGGGCCTTCGGAAAATTCAGCAAGCGCGTATTCAACAACCACGAACATTTTCATGATGTTCCGCGCCGTTGTCATCTTCACCTTGCTTGTGAGATGTGGACCCTGAAAAAACTAGAAAAAGATTGAACGTTTCCAACAAGCCAAGTATCAAATGACAGGACTGACGCACCAACAACGAAGTCCTCAATCGCTCAGAAATTCTGAACATTAAAGCCGCTATCCTCAAACATCACCTCAGATGTTCAGGACATGTCACCCGAATAGCCTCTTCAAGACTCTCGTTCGCCATACTTTACAGTGAGCTCGTCAACAGCAAACGGTATAGCGGAGCCCCAATTCGCAGATTCAAAGACCAACTGAAATCTTTCCTCATTCAAGCCGGAATCGGTCCTAATACCTGAGGAAAGAAGCTGCTGGCCGTCCATACCGAGCAATTAATTTCGGTCGTTCTAATTTCGAGGAGAGGAGAAAGACTGAAGAGGAAGTTAAAAGAAGGCAACGCAAGGTTTCGGCAGATCCAGCCAAGACCATCACCTTGTTGTGATTTGTTAAGAAGTGTCTTCTTATCGACATGTTTTTGTTTTTTTTTTAAATAATAATTTATCTTCGTTGATGATTATCAGCTCTGAAACTATTTGGCACTGATCGAAAATTAAATCGTGAATAGAAATATTACTCTGTCACTATTAACTCGAGAAAGTCAAATTAAGAAGTTACTTTGACTTTAAAAAAAATAAGTTAAAACTAAAGTCATCGGTGTTACGGTAAACTAAGTAACTTCAACAGCAGACATTAACATGTATAAAAAGAACAACTTTTATTTATGGTACTATGATTAATATTATGAATGCATAAACAAAAGGTATTTGAAGAAGTTTCTCCATATAAGGAATTCTTAAGCTGGGAGAAAGAGGTTAATTGGCGGTTGCAGTTATGGTCAAACTGCCCAGAGTCGTTCAACTATTTAAATGAAGGCAGTTGATCAAGGGAATTCTAAATCTGAAAGAGCGATACAGATGCAAAAGGACATGTACCTATATTTCATAGACTACGCAAAGGCCTTCGACAAAGTACGCCACAAAGATCTGATGGAACTGCTCAGCAACCTCGATATATTCAGGAAAGATATCAGAATAATCAAGAACCTATACTGGCAGCAAACAGCGTGCATGCGCATAGGGAACGAGTTCAGTGAATATACAAAAATAGAAAGGGGTGTAAGGCAAGGATGTGGCTTCTCACCCGACCTGTTTAACTTATACAGCGAAGCAATTCTGAGAGAATTGGAAACCCTACCAGGATTTACCATTGGCGGCCACAATCTTAACAACATAAGATATGCTGATGACACAGTACTGATAGCGGACACGGAAATAAATTACAAAATCTCCTACAGAAGTTGGCGAAGGAGAGAAGGGACTAAACATAAAACCAAATGAAAATGGAATGCATTGTCGTCAGTAGGAGAATGAGCCCGAAATGCGATCTGAAGGTCGGGAACACTAGAATCAAGCAGACGCGGAAGTATAAATATATTCAGTTACCATCTTCACGAGTGTAATTTCAGAGTAGTTCACTGTTCATTTCAAGGTTCTCAACAAAATCCAAAGACAGATAGATATCCAATGTGATCACTCCTGATTTGGCATTTCGAATCCAGTCACTTTCTCATAGACGTGATGTGGCTTCCATCTGTCTTTTCTACAAATATTTTCATGGCAACTTCTCTGACAAGTTATTTTCACTGTTGACCTGACCATGAATTTAAGTGTGCTATAAAGTTAACATCTCGGTCCCACCATTTTAATGTTGAATCAGTTAAATATAACTGCCTCTTCTACTCGAACATCTTCTCTCACACTTCTCGACAATGGAACTCCCTTCCTCTTGCTTGATTCCCTGATAACTATAATATTCAAACATTTAGATGTAATCTCAATCGACATCTTCTAACGCCTTGATCCCCATTTATCTTTTCCTCAATCCCTCCCTATACCCAGTCTTTTCTCTTACTTTCACTCTTTGTAAGCCCTTAAGTACTAGTGGCATTCCTGCTTTGCTTGGGGTGAAATGTTTATAAAAAAAATTAAAATATAACTATTTCAGACAGATGGAATATAGGTATGTCCATCGATGAGGTAAGCTTCTATTTTCTTCTTTGCACCATCACATGGTAGATAACTTTGTTATTGTTTCAATAAAGAGGTCAAAAGCAAATTTGAGTTAAATATACAATTTTATTTGTCCTTTCAAATATTCAACTTCATTTACATATTTTTTCTTCTTCAGCAAAAATATTTTTTAAGTGAAAAACATGCTTTCAATAAACAAATTTTTATAAAATTCTTTTTTTTCAATTTTTTTTTTTTAATTCCTTTATACAAAACCTGCCATTTGTTCATGGGCTGTTTCAGTTTCTTGAGAAGAAAAAAAAACAAATATTAACAAACGAGTTTGGCAAACATGCTGAATAAAACCACAAATATATTTCAATGGAGAAGAAATAGATTTGAAGGTACAACAGTGTGGGAAAAAAAAAACGTAGTGTTTCGCATACTTTTCATGATCAAAAAGGCTTTGATCTTACAAATGTTTTCAGGATCAGAAAAGTATTGATCATAATTAAAAGTTGTCATTTTCTTTATGTTTGATCAAAATTTACTGACGTTTTGATATAAATTCTAGAAGTATTTTTACATTTGTAATGACTTGAAACAGTTCTTTATTTCTTATCCTCATGTTATAACTCAGTGTTTTTCTTGGTTTATGAAGGAAGTTTTTTTTTTTCTTATTAAATTAAAAATGACTAATTTATTACTTTTTTTTCAACAAAATTTTCTGACAAACACACCTATTAATCCTTTTAGAAGTATTCTTACATTTGTAATGACTTGAATGTTTTCCACCAGCCTGAGGGTTCTGTAAGAACAAAGGAAAAATAAAAAATAAAAACAATGAATGTAGAATTAATGTAATTGCAATATTAGCCATTTTCCTATAAGGAAACATTTGGCATTCATTGATTACTTTATGTTTTGATCAAAATTTACTGACATCGGTTTGGACTCTAAATTCTTAATAAATTCTAGAAGTATTCTTACATTTGTAATGACTTGAATGTTATAACTCAGTGTTTTTCTTGGTTTATGAAGGAAGTTTAGTTACAAGTTAAATTAATGTAATTGCAATATTAAATTAATGTAATTGCAATATTAGCCATTTTCCTATAAGGAAACATTTGGCATTCATTGATTACTTTATCTTTTTGATCAAAATTTATGACATCGGTTTGGACTCTAAATTCTTAATAAATTCTAGAAGTATTCTTACATTTGTAATGACTTGAATGTTATAACTCAGTGTTTTTCTTGGTTTATGAAGGAAGTTTAGTTACAAGTTAAATTAATGTAATGGGTAATATTAAATTAATGTAATTCAATAAGCCATTTTCCTATAAGGAAACATTTGGCATTCATTGATTACTTTATGTTTTTCAAAATTTATGACATCGGTTTGGACTCTAAATTTTAATAAATTCAAAGTATTCTTATTGCTGGTACTCAGTGTTTTTCTTGGTTTATTTTAGTTACAAGTTAAATTAATGTAAAAATTTTCCTATAAGGAAACATTTGGCATTCATTGATTACTTTATGTTTTGATCAAAATTTACTGACATCGGTTTGGACTCTAAATTTTAATAAATTCTAGAAGTATTCTTACATTTGTAATGACTTGAATGTTATAACTCAGTGTTTTTCTTGGTTTATTCCAAGTTAAATTAATGTAATTGCAATATTAAATTAAAAAATTGCAAATTAGCCATATGTTTGGACTCTAAACTTAATAAATTCTAGAAGTATTCTTACATTTTTGACTTGAATGTTATATTCAGTGTTTTTCTTGGTTTTCTAAAATGTATTGTTTCCTAAGGAAACATTTGGCATTCATTGATTACTTTATGTTTTGATCAAAATTTACTGACATCGGTTATTTTTAATAAAATTCTAGAAGTATTTTTTTGTAAAAATGTTATAACTCAGTGTTTTTCTTGGTTTATGAAGGAAGTTTGTTACAAGTTAAATTAAAGCAATATTAAATTTTATTCTTAGCCATTTTCCAAAAATTGATTACTTTATGTTTTGATTTTTGATATCGGTTTGGAAAATTTTTAAATTCTGATAATGACTGAATGTTATAAATTTTGGTTTAAAGGAAGTTTATTTTACAAGTTTAATGTAACAATATTTTTAACATTTTTCATTTTCTTTATGACCCCCCAAATTCTTAATTTTAGAAGTATTAAATGTTTTAATCAAAATTTTGAATCGGTTTGGACTCTAAATTCTTAATAAATTCTAGAAGTATTCTTACATTTGTAATGACTTTTTTTAATTTATTAGCCATTTTCCTATAAAGGAAACATTTGGCATTCATTGATTTATGTTTTGATCAAAATTTACTGACATCGGTTTGGACTCTAAATTTTAATAAATTCTAGAAGTATTCTTACATTTGTAATGACTTGAATGTTATAAGTTTTTCTTGGTTTATGAAGGAACCCCGGTAATTGCAATATTAGCCATTTTCCTATAAGGAATCATTTGGCATTCATTGAACTTTTATGTTTTGATCAAAATTTACTGACATCGGTTTGGACTCTAAATTCTTAATAAATTTAGAAGTATTCTTACATTTGTAATGACTTGAATGTTATAACTCAGTGTTTTTCTTGGTTTATGAAGGAAGTTTAGTTATAAAGTTAAATTAATGTAATTGCAATATTAAATTAATGTAATTGTAATATTAGCCATTTCCTATATAAGGAAACAGCATTCATTGATTACTTTATGTTTTATGATTTACATTTGTAAGGCCATGCAAGTTAAATTAATGTAAAATTAAATTAATGAAGTAATATTAGCCATTTTCCTATAGCATTCATTGATTACTTTATGTTTTGATCCTGAATTTTTTAGAAGTATTCTTACATTTGTAATGACTTGAATGTTATAACTCAGTGTTTTCTTGGTTTATGAAGGAAGTTTAGTTACAAGTTAAATTAATGTAATTGCAATATTAAATTAATTGTAATATTAGCCATTTCCCATTCATTGATTACTTTATGTTTTGATGACATCGGTTTGGACTCTAAATTTTAATAAATTTAAAGCAATATTCTTACATTTGTAATGACTTGAATGTTAAACTCAGTGTTTTTTTAGCAGTTTAAAAAAATTCTTAATTGTTTTTTATTTTGCAATATTAGCCATTTTCCATAAGGAAACATTTGGCATTCATTGATTACTTTATGTTTTGATCAAAATTTACTGACATCGGTTTTAAATTTTACCATATTCTTACATTTGTAATGACTTGAATGTTATAACTCAGTGTTTTTCTTGGTTTATGAATTTAAAGTTAAAAAGTTAAATTAATTAAAATCACCATTAATTTTGCACATTATCGGTTTGGACTTTTTTTTTTTTTTTTTGTTTAACTCAGTGTTTTTTGAAGGAAGTTTATAGTTAAATTAATGTAATTTTACTTAATAGCCATTCTGAATTTTTATTTTACAAAAAAATCGGTTTGGACTCTAAATTTTAATAAATTTAGAAGTAACATTTTTGTTATAAGTTGGGACATAAAATTAATGTAATTGCAATATTAGCCATTTTCCTATGATACTTTATGTTTTCACTTGGATTTTGTAATGACATGAAACCATGAACAACAATACTGACATCGGTTTGACCTCAAATTCTTAATAAATTTTCATTCTTACATTTGATGACTTGAATGTTATAACTGGTGTTTTTCTTGGTTTAAAAGGAAGTGTTAAATTTGTAATTGACAATATTGTCTGTTGAATGTTATAACTCACAATATGCAATATTAAATTAAGCCATTTTCCTATAAGGAAACATTTGGCATTCATTTACTTTCTGTTTTTGCATTTTAATAAATTTATGATTCTTACATTTGTAAACTTGAATGTTATAACTCAGTGTTTTTCTTGGTTTTTAGACAACATTGATTCCATTGCAATATTAGAAGAGAATAGATGGCATAATTTTACTTTATGTTTCCATAAAAGGCTTTGACATCGGTTTGGTTAAAAGGTTTACATTTTGATCTGAGATCTGATAAACTCAGTGTTTTCTTGGTTTATGAAAAGCCTGTAATAAATTCTTAATAAAATTATTATTGTTATTGTTATAACTCATTTTATTTAAAGTAATTGTAAGATAGTCCTACATTTACATTTTCCTTAGTGCTAACCATGAAAAGAAATGTTGACCAAAACTACCTAAAACCTTTGAGCACATATTGCTTTTTTTACAAAATTATCAAATGTTGAATACGCTCCACCTCTGCTGAATGCGACATATGTGTGAGGCATTGATTATTCTTCAAACATTATTGATATATACAAAGATTGGCCTACTGATTAAATTTGAACATATGTGGTAATTCTTCTTACCAATGAAAGTACAGGTGCTGGGTAGTTTATCGTCTGGACACATATTTTATGGTAAAAAACAAAAAGAAATAACTTTTTGATTGAACAACCATTAAATGACAATTAAACATTATTGAATCAACTTGAATTTCTTTTTACCAAAACAACACTTTTTCAGTTGGGACATAGCTGATATATTGTTGCTTTTGCTTTTGGAGTGAAAAAAATATATTGCAAATCTTTTTCCATTTGATACTGCATTGGATATGCTTGCCAATTTTGTGTCCCAAAATAATTTTATACATTTGGCAGAGATAATGAAAATATATAAACAGCAACGAAAAAATCAGTGAAAGAAATTTATATGCTGTCAAAATATACAATTCATCAAACATTTTTCTTCTACCCATGATTAACAATGTTGTGATTCTTCCCTCCAGGAATGACAAACAATGATTCTTCTGCTCATAATTAACAAAATCTTCATTCTTTCCTCCAGGAATAACAAAATCATCATTCTTCCCTCTAATCCAGGAATGACAATGTTATCATTCTTCCCTCCAGGAATGACAAAATCATCATTTTTCCCTCCAGGAATGACAAAATCATCATTTTTCCCTCCAGGAATGACAAAATCATCATTCTTCCCCACAGAAAAGACAAAACAATGATTCTACAGCCTCACTCATTAGTTTACTATCTTAAAATTCTTACTAGGTTGTATCTTAAAATTATTGCTAGATTGTATTTCCAAAATTCCTGTAAAAACCAATAACAAAAAAAAAGATGCAGGTGTAATAATTTTAGTTTTGGGATGACTGCTCACTATAATTCAATTCAATCCTTTCATTTTACAGTTTATTCCTTCAATATTTGTTTTTTTTATTATTCACAAGATTAGTGTATTGAATGTCGTGTACTAATTTAAACATTTCTTTCAGAAAAATAGCGTTTTCTCATCTAGTAAATGCATAGATTATATAGCACATTAAAAACATGAATAATATATATATATATATACACATATATATATATATATATATATATATATATATATATATATATATATATATATATACAAGGTGCTAATGAAAATGTAAGAATTTGACTATTGAATAAAGACTACTTAATCTAAATACCTAGTTTTTCAGTCTCATTCAAAGTAGCCTCTTTGGGCATCCATACACCAATCTAAAATGCTGCTACACACAAAAAGTAGCACCAAAATCTACATTCAATTCTCACAAACCTCAACCTCACAATACTCTCCATTTTAACTCTTCCTACCGAAAAAACTTTTCTTTTGACACCATCCTCCTATCTATAATACTAATGCAATCTAATAAGTAGATATTCTTCTCATAGCATTATATAATAGAGAAAAAAAATTCAAGAGAAAATATTACAACAATAACAAATTTTAAGTAAAAACAGAAAATATTAAAGAATTCATTTAATTCAGAATAAATTGTAGGTAGAACTTACCTTCTGATATGATTTCAATCACATCACCTTCATTGAATGCTAATTCATCAGCATTCATTGGTTCATATGCATAAAGGCATCGGCACCGAGGTAAGCAAGGTTTAGGCTTTGGCTTTGGTTTTGGTTTTGGTTTTTCAGGTGGCAAAGCTTTTCGGGGCCGTCTGAAATTTAAAGATGAAATTTAAACAACCTTGGTTTTATAAACAAAATTTTTCATTTAGTTTAAAAAATATCAGGAACTATATCCACCAGTTGTGGAGTGATTTACAAACTGTTGTATAATTTCCATTAAATAATTTCTTCTACAATTATAACTGTGCTTTAAGCAAGTGATGTTCACACATTTTATAGATTAAAGGTGGAAATATTTATCTACAAAATTACATCTTGAACAGAAAGACATAGCTGACATTTTTACATGTAATAAGGAAAGAGTGTTTGGATAATTTAACACATAATGAAAGCAAGAGTAACTGAGAGAAAAAAAGAATGAGCTTGTAATCTATCGAATGAGCTTAAGAGCAGAACAAAGACTGGGGAGAATTTGAAGCATATTGAATGAAAAGAAAAACATTACTATTTAAGAGCAAATGGATGGCAGAAAGAGAGGAAGATGAAAAGAAAAAACATTACTAAGAGCAAGAAAGCCAGGAATTTGATAGCCATGAATTTGGGTCATATTGAATGTAAAAGTGACAGAAGGAAACAGTAAGTAACCTATTTAATGAGCTTGTGCAAATGAATGGCAGAACAGTGACTGGGAGTGAAGATGAAAAGAAAAACATTACTAAGAGCTAGAAAGGAGAGGAAGTTGGGGAGAGCCATGAATTTGATACTCACAGGTTATATTGAATGTAAAAGTGACAGAAGGAAACAGTAAGTAACCTATTTAATGAGCTTGTGCAAATGGATGGTAGAACAGTGACTGGAAGTGGTGGTGAAAAGAAAAACATTACTAAGAGCTAGAAAGGAGAGGAAGTTGTGGAGAGCCATGAATTTGATACTCACAGGTTATATTGAATGTAAAAGTGACAGAAGGAAACAGTAAGTAACCTATTTAATGAGCTTGTGCAAATGAATGGCAGAACAGTGACTGGGAGTGAAGATGAAAAGAAAAACATTACTAAGAGCTAGAAAGGAGGAAGTTGTGGGAACATGAATTTGATACTACAGGTTATATTGAATGTGACAGAAGGAGTAACCTATTTAATGAGCTTGTGCAAATGAAAGAACAGTGACTGGGAGTGAAATGAAAAGAAAAACATTACTAAGAGCTAGAAAGGAGAGGAAGTTGGGAGAGCCATGAATTTGATACTCACAGGTTATATTGAATGTAAAAAAGTGACAGAAGGAAACAGTAAGTAACCTATTTAATGAGCTTGTGCAAATGGATGGCAGAACAGTGACTGGAAGTGGTGGTGAAAAAAAAAAAACGTTACTAAGAGCTAGAAAGGAGAGGAAGTTGTGGAGAGCAATAATTGCCCTTATCATATAGAAGGACAATGATGAGATCTGCTTAATGGGAAAATACAATTAAGTCAGCATGTTTACTATCCAATTCACTCATTATAATTGAATAGGCATAAGTTTTACTAGACTCTTTGACATTCATTTACAGAATCTATTTAAATGATTATGGATTTCAGAGACAATTCCATGAATAATGGACAGTTAACATTTTTGTACTTACACTGCAAAGAAAGCTTGGATTACATTGAATGGGATCAATGTACTAAAAGGGGCCCCACCCAGAATTTATAAAAATGATGAATGCATGTTGCAGTTAGAAAAAAAAATCAATGACTGACTGACTGAGGATCCTGTATATTTTCTGCAAATTATCAAGCCATTTTTAAATCTGTCACTTGTCTATTCATTATATCTTGTACAAGGATATTTGGGCAAAACATCACATCATCCACTTCTCTCAGCCCCTCTACAGTTTAGACTTGATTCTTTTTTTTTTCATTCTTATTATTGTTCACCTGCTACAAGGCCTCCAAAATCACTCATGGTTAAAGGTCAATAAAAGAAATGTTTTAAGGGTGTCCTGGGAGCTAGCCTGCATATTATGAGCATATGTAGGTTTGGTTTGGTTTGGTTTGGTTTGGTTTGTGTTACGGCATATCATCCTCAATGGGTTATTGTAATGCTAACAATTTTTTTTATTGCTGGTAATATTTTTTTCAAAAAAGTATTTCTGGTAAGATTTTTCCCAAAAATGTATTGCTGGTAATATTTCTTTTTCCAAAAATGTATTGCTAGTAATATTTTTTTCTTCAAAAATCTATTGCTGGTAATATTTAATCTTCAAAAATCTATTGCTGGTAATAATGTATTACTGGTAATAACTTTTTTTTTTCAAAAATTCATTGCTGGTAATATTTTTTTACAAAAATATAATACTTGTATTAAAACCTATTTTTACACTTTCATGGTGCTTTGACACCAGTTTGTGGGTTAACTATTTACCCATAGCTGGGACCCTAACAGATGCTACCACCCCAAGTCAGGGTTGATTTGGGAACAAAAGCAATTAAGAGGTGGTTCCATGCTCATCAAAACCTCCTGATTAGAGGCTTTACTGTTGGATATAGTTTATTGTCTTACCCAGGGCGCAGATGTAGTTTATTATTATAGTCTTACCCAGAATGCCTCATTTGGGAGAGGTGGGGTCTTACCTCTCTACAGAAGTGCAGTCAGCATATTCTGAAGCCCAAACCAACAGGGCATATGAGGATATGTAGGACAGATAATAGTTAAACCTTATCTTGAAGTGGTTAAGACTGTAATGATCAAGAAAGTACCTTTCAGGAGTTTGTTCCATATTGCAACAGTTCTAATGAAGAATCAGCCTGAGTGGAACTTCCTCCTCACTAATGGAATATGAAGGGAATGAGGATGTGTCAACTCTGTGTACATGATATTGCAGGTTCAAGATGTGAAGGTTTGGACTGGTGGAACTAAGGAATATAGTTTGTTCAAACAGCTGTCAGGAAAATAGCAAGTGAGAAGCTAGTAATATTTTGTCTCTGGGAAAGGGATTAAAAATGGAAAACAATGCATCAACCACAAGTCTGCACAAATGCTTTTGAACTTGAAAAGTGGGGATTGGATGCAATTCCTATTTTTCAAAGACTAAAATTGTGAGTGCAATTTTGCAATACATGACAAAACAGTTGATGGCAATCTGAAATAAGAAATATGAAGATTGTTTTCAAAATTGGAATAGACAGTGAAATTGCAAAGGAAGAACATAGAAGATGAATAAGGCATTATTGGCTTCTCCTTGCTATTAAATATCTGCCTCATTCCTGATGCAGGCCTCATATAGACCTAGAAATATTTACTTACACGGTGCATCAATCACAGAATATATCTTGGAATAATGTCTCAAAGACTGTAAATTATATCCAGCCTTTTAAATTTTTCTCAAATTTTGCCTCATTCCTAACTTAATTCTACAAGAAATTCCAAAATGCTAAGAGAGAGACAAATGCTAAAATACTGAAATAGATACAAAATATGGATAGAGATGGGTGGTGGGGGATGAAATATACTTACTGCTTCATCTGGTTTGCTAAATTGTTGTTCATAACATTGCTTCCATTTTGAGATGCTTGGATCATTCCTCCTTTTTTGAAAAAGCAAATAAAAATCAGGTTTTAATTAAATAAATTAAAACTTTATTATTAATTTTCAACAAATTATATTTCTGTTGTATTTTATCCCAACTCTAAAATGGTTATTCTGTGGTGCCTCATAATAAAAAAAGATATTTATTTTACACAAAAAGTATTTTTCAAAATAATTTCTTTCCTTGTCATTACACTTAATTCAACAGTAAATATTTTTTATATTGATTTTTCTATGAAAAATTTCAGATCAAAATTCACTTAAGACTATGGACTTATTGATACACTTTTGTATGATGGTTAAAATATGCAGCAGGGTTTGCAAAGTACATTAAAGACAAACCTCTCATCTACATACCCCTCCCTCAATCAACAGACTTCAGATGCAACAGACAAAATCTGCAGGCAAAGTAAAAAAACAGCAGAAAAAAACTTTCAAATCATCAGTGATGTATTTCAAAATTTGTGGGCTTAGTGGAACAAGTCATATTCATTCTCAAAGTGACTGGTTGGCAGCAGTGGTGAGTTTTCCACTTGTAAACAAAGACAGGTGTACAGTATATAAAGTATAATATATTTTGCATATGTGAGAAAGTAGCTGTGAGAAATCTATTATTTTTGCTATTTTGAGTAATATATCTATATTAAGTATATATTTATGCCATATATATATATATATGTTTATAGTATTTACATTATGATCATAACTAGTGGTAGTTACTATAGTGGTTTTATAACTCAAAAAATAATCCCTCCCCATAAACAGACATTCGGCATTAATGGACCACCCCATCACCCTATTGGTCAATTGATGAGGTTTATCTGTACTTATTTTAACAGTCACAGACAAATGCAAGTTGTGCCATAAGAAGCAAGATGAAACAAAAAAAAAATGTTTAAATTAATGATAATAGGTCTTTAAATGAAAATTATTACACTTAATATCATGACTGTTGATAAGCAAAAACCATAATTGGTATATCATCAATTAGAAAAGTAAGCTGTATGACTTATTTAAACAATTCATCTTCATTTATGTGTCATGTCACTTTAGGAGGTGATAATGGCTTTCCACAATTTCCTGTCCTTTGTAGCTCTTAATAAATTTTAATTTTTGTTATCTCTCCTAAACCCTGTTTTGCCATCCATTTAAGTAGGTTATGCACTGTTTTTCTCTGTCCTTCTTGCCTTTAATCTGTCCTGTATTGTGTCACATTTTCCAAGCCCTCTTTCCTCAGTATATGCCCTAGAAATTTAAAATCTTTCTTTATGATAATATGCATACATGCCGTTTTTTTTCCATTTTTCTCTAAACCTCATTGCTCACATTTTCAGTCCATGGCATTCTCAGCATTCTCCTGTAAAACAACATTTCTTTTACTATATTTGAACAATACCAACCAGTAAATCCTCTGTAAGAAAACCTGTTAAGGACCTTGTCAAAGAAAGTTATGCTGCCAATGATTGTAACTATCCATCAAGGTCAAAGATGTTCTTGTTCTGTTTGTCTCAGTCAGGTGAGTTTGTGGACTCTGAGATGGCTAATAAGATGGATTTCTACTTGAAAGATCCTTTGATATTAAGGGAAGTTTGTTCTGGATGGTGGATTAGGTCTTGGTTGTTGTTGTCTTTCATTTTGTTCTCTTTTTTGCTTTAGTATGGCTGATCATTTGGATTCAAAGATTGTTGTTCAGTCCTGAACAGTGGATCTCCAGAGATTCCTGTCCATTGCACTGGATTCCCAGCTGTTGAGGTCGATGTTACATTTTTTTCATGTTTTCTTTTAGAATGTCCTTGAATCTCTTCTTTTGAGATTCTCTTTTCTAATTTCCTTCTTTGAATTGGGAATAAAAGATTTGCTTTGGTAAGTGAATATCATCCATTCACACCAGAAATTCACTCCATCCAAGTTGACGGCTTCAATGCTGGTCATTTTAGTTTGTTCCAGTATGCTAGCATTAGTTCTTCTGTCTTCCAAACTAATGTTCAAGATACTTCAAAGACAATGCTGGTGAAATTTTTTCAAGGAATTTCAAATGTTGTTAAATTGCCCAGGTCTCAGAGTCATACAGGAGAGATGGAATCACTACTGTCTTGTACACTAACATTTTGGTGCCTGTTCTGATGTTACAATCTTGGAAAATGTGCAGGATCAGCTTTTGGTCATCTTTGATTTCAAATGCTCATACATCCACCTTGTTAATTATTGTGACATGCCAGTCAAAATACTTGTTTTGTAAAGATATCTAATGATAGAACTGAGCATAGGGATGTGGAATCATTCCTTTTCCAAAGGAATTAGTGCTAAGTTAACATAAGTAGAATTTGGGTTTGCAAATTCTGTTTTCTGGATATTCTTTTATTAAAATTTACATCTTGACTTGTGAATGAAATTGGGTTATCAGAACTGATTGAAAGCTGTTGATGCTTGTGTTAATGTGTAAAGTCACAAGTAATACTGATTGAGGATTTGAGCTTTGTTCAAATTTTTAATCATACTAGATGATACACTTATGAAATGAGCTCTATGGGTGTTGAACAAACACAAACGTGCCTGAGCATATGACTGCAACAGAAATTGGCTAACCATCCTAGAAGACTGGTGTGCTCAGAAATGAGTAGTCATGTTGATTTATTCAAATATTTTTTCAAGAAATAGATAATTCTATGTTTTTATTTTCTGGATTTTGTTTCAGGTAGCTAAATATTTTACAGCATTTCGGCTGATACAGTAATTTCTCAATTATCCATATTATTGTAAATTTGATTATCCAATTGTGAATGAAGAGAAAAATTGAATAGAGGGGAGTGATTTTGTGTAGCTAATTAAAGTAAAACTATATTATGAAAATTATGGTAGCTAATTAAGATAAAACTATATTATGGAAATTTGAATTTGTTTTTATGTTGACATTTTAATACTAATTCATTCCACCTCACCTGACCCATGTCTTGTGCCTTTTGTCTGACTGAAACATTGAAATGTTTAAACTTTATATTAGATGTTTTTGGCAAGTTGGATTTGAGTTGATTTATTAGCTTTCACAGTTATATTCTACTTCCTGCTTCATCTAACTTTATAGACATGAACTCATTCCATGTTGGGGTTAATAAGACAAACAACCAATATCACCGTCTGCTGAAATAGACTATTCCCCCATATGAGATAATTTTGGATTCATTTGTTTATTTTTTATATATATATATATATATATATATATATATATATATATATATATATATATAAGTATACCTGTTTTTCTTTTATTTTCTAAAACAGTGAAATTAATATCAACTGGCCGAGATTGAGAAGTCCTACTGAAAAATTTAACAAGAGTCAAAACTGTATCCATTTTCTCTTATTTTAATAAGAAATAATAATGTCAGATATAAAACCCATTAATATATATGTGTGTTTTGTGTGTGTGTGTGCATGAAATATGTAAAATTATATATTTTGCATTTTGGCTGATACAGTATTTTCTCAATTAACCATATTATTGTAAACTTGATTATCCAATTGTAAATGAAGAGAAAAATTGAAATCATCCAAATACTTTTCAATCAACCAAGCTAAATCCATTCCAATATTTCATCTCAGACAAGTGTTTTTAAAATTTAGAAACAATATATGAGGCAAATGAGGCAGAAATTAATGTCTGGTCCAATGCAAATAATCCTGGGTATGAACACCAAAGTGACCAAGATATTATTGAACTTCTAATCATGCCAGAAAATGTTGAATGGTGAGAAGGATTATAAAAATATTCTCCATGTTGAAGTTCAACATCCCCCCGATGACCAATTTCAAACACCAAAGTAATGATTATATTCAACAAATATTGGTTGTGATTCCAACCAGAAGCGACCCTTACAAATAAATTGACTTTTATCCAGGAGTTAGCAGCATAAAAATGCAAGGACAATTGGAAACAGACAAAAATGGATGCATATTTTCACCAAAACTAAACTGGACAAAAACAATGAACAAATTGTTTGAAAATATTATTTGCCGATATAAATGTTAAATTTCTTTCAGAAAATTTCTTTTTCCTTCAATCTTTTTCAATTATTCAATAATCTGGAATTTTTAATTACTTGAACATATTTTTCAACCCCTGTCACAATGTAACCCAATAATCAAGAAAGTACTGCAGTACCAATTTTTTTTTTTAATATTAGTCAATTTTTTTGCCAAAAATCTGCTTTATTTTTATTTATTATTATTTGATCCATACTGACCTTTCAAATGGTTAGGCTTTGGAGGTGGTTTAGATGTGGGTGGTGCTGGCCTGTTCTGCTGTCTTCCAGTTTGGGAGGGGAGCTGTGGAGGTTTGTACATTGGAGGTGGGGGTCTGAATCCAGAATATGATGCCTTCAGGTTAGGCTTGTTGTTGTTTCTGCCGAAACGGTTTTGACCAGGAATATCTTGTGACGGTCCTGAAAATCATGAAAAGATTTAAAATAATAAATTTCCAAATCATCATTGTCTTTACCAATCCAACACAAATTCTTCTATAAGATTTTCTTGCTATTAGTATTTACTCTTTTTATTCTGCTTTCTTTAAATTAACAAATACATTATTATGTAATTCAAATTCGGCTCTCCAAATCTGAATTCCAGTCAAATCCATTACATTCACTTACATGTTAATGCATTTGGGAAAGGTATGAATCCTCTTCTTCTTCCAGCAGCTATGGGTTAATAGCAGAAAAAAACTGGGTTCTATAACCTTGGATGGCAACTAGTCTACCGCAGAAAGAAATGGTAACTGACTGCAGAAAAAAAATCTGCCTCAGAAGATACATGATTGCCTAAGCGTGTATCACGTATGGCACATAACTGACTGATAACATAAAATGAGATACATTTGAGTTGAGGTCAATAAATCACAAATAAAAAAACCAATAAACATAAATATGTGTAGAACAACAAGATGGTTGTCAGAAACATGGGACGAGGTGAACTGATTACAGGCAAAGGAAATGTGTTAGAGGTGAGGTGCCAAGCCCTGGATTTTACGATAGGGTTGGATTATTTAGACACAGCTAAGTCGTGTCTGTCATCAGTTGGACTGAACTGCAGCTCAGATTATGTTGAATAAGGCAAAATGAAAATTGAATTGAATTATTGCTGACTTTAACAAAATAGTGGCATTAACCAATGCTATCTGCTGCTTTGTTTTTCCTGTGGTGTGTTTTTTCTTTTAGAAAGAAGGCTATAGAACTCGCAGAAAGAAATGGCAACCTACCATGGTTAAAAATCTGCCTTGTCAGTCATGTATCAAAAGATACATGATCGTCTAAGCATGTATCACACTGGGCACATAACTGACTGACTGATTATTATATAACTATTTTTAATGGGCTTGGTACATTTCGGTGCAATCCATTTGGCATCACTGATTCAGTGTCAGAAAAATAATTGGACTATTCAGCCCAGCCACTTAGGCATCAGACTGTTTCGATGTCACTGTCTTTGATTGAAGCCCCCCCCCCCGGATAAAAGCATTGAAAACACCCAACTTTCAATATGATTTTTTATTCATTTAGGAAATTAAGGATCCTATTAAAACACTAATGGAATAATGTAAATTAAAAACTTAAATCACTTTTATCTTTTTAACCTCTATTTTTGCAGTAGATGCTTCATGGGTGTGTTCATTCAATTAGAAAATCACTTTTCTATCCTTCATATGTAATCACACTTTACATCAATCTTTCTGTTCACATTGCCAAAACTTTAATTCAGGATCCCATTGGTTCATTGCATCCAAAATAAAAAGGTATGAATCGTGTATCACTTTATTTCTTCCATGTTTTGATAAAATATTTGCTTCCATCTGGAATAAAATGGCTTTGACAACTAAAAAATATGAAACTGCACTGAAGGAAATGTAATATAAAAATACCTCAAACTACTCCTTTTCTTAAATTTAAAAATGCCTCCAACTACTCTTTTTCTTAAATTTAAAAATGCCTCCAACTACTCCTTTTCTTAAATTTAAAAATGCCTCCAACTACACTTTTTCTTAAATTTAAAAATGCCTCCAACTACTCTTTTTCTTAAATTAGATGAAATGCTAATTTGACTACTGAACAAGAGAGAGAGAGAGTAACGAAGTAGTAATCTGATGCCTAATTGTCTTTGCTGAAAAATTCCTATGTTGAATCAACTATGCCAAATCAGCAACACCAAATGGGCTACACCAGAATGTCCCATTCCTATTTTTAATATGGTTTCAAACTATAACATCTTTCTCTATTTATTTATCTCAAGAAAGTATCCCAGATATATAGTATTAAAAAAATGTCCTACCTAGGGCAATGGCACCATATTCTACTTCAAAGAACTCCTCTTTGGATCTTGCATGCTTATCTAAACATCCCTTCAATGTTTCAAAAGAGACTATAAAATTATCTTTCATTCTCCTTCAAAATCACTTACATAGCCTTGTTAGGGAACACATTTTTTCACCTTACAGCCGCTTTTCTACAGATGCAATGTTGCAAGCCTATCACTACTCTGTTGCTATTTCCATGGCAAAATTTCAGACTACCTCCATTCTTTTGTGCCACCTAAATACTGGAAATCTTTTGTTAAGATATGAAAAAGCTTGTGAAAAGATTTCAGTATTTAAAACTTGACTGAACAATTAGAAAAATATTCAACAAAAACCTGCTTCACGCTAAAAGCCAACCCCACTAAACTACACACACTCCAGTATACATCTTTCACCACCTCATGAAGGGAATATGACCTGCAGTAAACACCAATACCAAGTCTGTAGACATATAATCACTGATAACAGTTTCACATGCACTGTCTCTGAATTGTGATAGTTCAAATCTCGTATATTTGTTTTTCTGCCATAAGTGCAAACAAGGAAATTATGTGGGAGAAACAGGGGCAGAATTCCAACTTTGATTTAACAACCATTAGGAACAACAACAATAATTTCCCAGTTGCAATACTCTTCAGCCTACCATTTCATAATGCAGATGATACCAAATGCATGCTTTTGGTGTAATCATTCAACAACCGAGAGGAGAAGCATACATCAGAGTTGAAATTTATTTTCAAAATAAATTCAAACATTGAATAACATTCCTTCAAAGACTAAGTAACACTTCTTTGTTTATTCCACACATTGTTGAAAAAGAACACAGGCATGTTTAAATATTCTGACTTTAAAATCTATCTCTTCCTGCTTCATTTGTAAAAAGGTAAATATGTAATAAATATCAATTTTATTGACAATATTGGTATCATTTTGTTGGCTTTTTATCCTTCAAACTTCATTAACTAACCTATTAAATCTCCCACTCTATCTCTCTCTCTCTCTCTCTATATATATATATATATGAAAAATTTCCCAGAGTTAACCTGTAGAAAGAGATAATATTTATAAATGTAAAAGACAATAGGAAAACTGTAATAGTAGCTGACACATTTCATCCAATGTGAACTTTTTCAAAGCAAAAAACGAAATGAATTTATTAAACAAAGTAACTAATAATAACAAAATAAAATGTCCTTAGTAACTGGAAGAATTTAGAGAACACTATTTTCATACTGTCAACTGAAATTACGTCAATTACTGTCACATGTGGAGATATTGTTTTTATTACTGTTTTGACTGATTCAACCATTTTCTTTTGATTTCTTGATACTGTTCTGTACATTTGCTTGGGAGAGTAGTAATTCTGTTAAGAAAGATGAAATAGGGAAAAAGCCTGGGTATAGATTAATATTTGGATAATATTCAATGGTAACACTTTTGAGGATTTTCCTTCTGAGTGAGTTATTTTCTTTTTTTATGAGTGTAGTATTTTTAAAATCAAAATTATGGTTGAATTTATTTCTATGTATGACTAGTGCATTAGCTAAGTTGTTTTTTGTGAGGTCTCTTTTGTGCTCATAAATGCATTTTTTTAAATTTCTACTAGTTTTGCCAATATATTGGGAGGAACAGTTTTGGCAATTTATTTTATAAATGCCTGCTTCAGAAATATTATTGCTATTAGTGTTTGAGGATCTGAGTATATCCATAATAGTTTTGGAAGTGTTTGTGATTATTTTAAGATTATTTAGATGGGATAGGTTATTCTGGATAGTGGAAGCAATGGAGTTGGTCGGTAGTATTATGCATTTGTTTTCATGTAATTTATTATTGCAGATTATGTTATTTTTGTTTCAGTTGTATATTTTATATGTCTTTCTTCTTGTGTTGTAAATGAAATGATATGGGTATTGTAGATTTTTGAATGTGTTTTCTATATTTCTTCTTTAAGTAAATATTGGGGACTACAAATTCTTAATGTTCTCAGATAGACACCTATAATTCCAGATTTAATTTTAGAAGAGTGGTTTGAGTAGAAACTGATCAGATCATTTTTGTTTGTAGCCTTTCTATAAACATCAAAAATTGAGTTCATTATTATTTCTATGTAACATGATATCTAGGAATTGAAGAGTGTAGTTGGTTTCAGTTTCAAAAGTGAAGTCTCTTGTAGGTTCAACATTGTTAAGTTTAGAGAGAAGATCTGTTAAATTAGTGTTTTGTGGATATATTAATAATGTGTTGTCTATGTATTTGAAATATGAAAAGTTTGTAGGGAGAATATTTTTGAATGGGTCACTTTCTAGAAATTCTAAAAATAGACAAGCACGAATGCTGCTGAGAGATCCCATTGGTAAACCAAATTTTTGTCTGTAATGTTGGTTATCAAAAGTAAAGAAACATTGCTTGGTAATTAGCTAGCATATTTTTATGATTTTGTGTATAGGTAGAGGTAATTTAATTTTTGCTTTTGTTAGGTGTTTTTAGTAGATTTAAGCATTTCTCTATGGGGACGTTTGTGTATAGAGATTTTTTATCTAAACTAACCATATATTTGTTTTTAATGTCTATGTTTTTTAATTTGTTTAGCAGGTCATCTGAATTTTTTTATATGTGATGGACTAATAGTGTTGAGAAGTGGAGGTAAATTCTGCTTAGTTTGCAGGTTAGTGTATGTGGGGCACTGCCTATCCCTGATATGATAGGTCTCATTGGTATGTTCAGTTTATGTGTTTTTGGTAATCCATATAATATGGGTGTTTTGGGATGGTATTCAATAAGTTTTATCCAGGAGAAGTCTTCATTTTTCAGTAGCTTTTTGATCTCGCTTGTAAATTTTTGTGTTTCTTTTATAGCTTTGTTTTCATTTAGTTTTTCATAGATGTTATCATCGTTAATGAGCTCTCTCATCTTCTGTTTGGTAAATGTGTTTATCCATGATTACAATTCCCCCACCCTTATCAGAAAGGGATATATGGATGTTTTTGTTGTTAGCTAATTCTTTCAAGGCTTTTATGTATCAACAGAAGGTGCATTATCTGGCTGCTTCTCAGTTTAAATTATCCTTGGCTAATCAGTGAAGAGTAGACTTGCTAT